TCGTTGCTACTTCAGAATTGTAATTTTGCTGCTGTTATGAATTGTAATGAAAATATCTATGTTTTCTGATGATCTTATGTAGCCTCTGTAAAAGGGTTGTTTGACACCCCAAAAGTTGAGAACCACAGTGTTAAAAGAACACTTCAATGTGCAGTAATGTGTGGGAACCCATGGAGATTTCCTAGTGAGACCTTACTCAGGGTCCAAGATCAGAGCTTGTTTTACACAGCAGGTCTGCATAAGGGGATGATTTGACCACAGGTACCATTACCAGGTATTTGGAAGGATCTACACTTGGCTGTGAGGTGTGCTTTGATCTTGAAAGTGGGAGGTGTTTTGCCCTGTCCCTTGGCATTGTTATAAAAAGCCCTTTTAAATAAATGGAAAAGGCCATTTGGGTGTTGATCCAGGCCCTCCTGAAGCTATTCTTTGTTTCTGTCTTTCTTCTCGTCAACTAGGTCTCTCTTTCTATCCATCTTTCTTATCCCTCTCTTCTCCTGCTAAGAACCCTAGAAAAAGTGGAAAAGGTAGGAGCTAGACTCCCAAGGCCTCCCATAGTAATGGAATCACATTGTGGAATACCACAGGATGAACAGAAACAAGACACAACAGGTCACATTGAGTTGTTTTGCAGTTTTATTAGGACTATTTTATTGAGGGCTAGAGAGATGGTTCAGAGGTGACTAGCACTTGTTACATGAGGATGATGATAAACGTTTGGATCCCAGTGCCTACATAACAAGCTGGACATATTACACATACCAGTAGCCTCAGCACAGAGGAGGGGGAGGGCAGAAATAGGATAATTGTTGTGCTTTTGGCTTCTAGCCTAAAAAGAAAAGGAAACTCTCTGAATTCTATGTCTAGGGAGAGATTCTTCCTCAAAGGGTAGGCAGAGAGTGATGTAAGAGGACACCCAACCACATCTTCTGGGCTTTGTGTGCGCACAAAGGTATACACACATGCATGTACAACACACACACACACACACACACACACACACACACACACACACACACACCAAAAAGAAACAGTGTTTTGTTGAAACATAGCCTCATTCATTTGTTTTTATATTGTTTATTTTGATTTTATGCTTAAAGGAGAAAATTGAGTAATACAAGGGAGATCATATGGGATATCAAAGCATATTTAGCATCTGGTTCTCTGTAGAAAAAGGGTACCAGCTTCTGCTGAATATGAAAAATTTGCTAATCTTGTCAACAATAACAACAACAAAAGTATACTTCAAGAAAGACAAACCCTGAGTATTATACACAGATGGTGATAGAGATGTCTATCTTATTGATAATTTACAACGTGCGGACTTTACTTCAACCCTGATTCAAATAGACATTCTGTAAAGCAACCATTCTTAAAAGATTCTGTGTTTATCTTTTGTGTATGAGTGTTTTGTATCAAATGTATGCCTGGTGTTTTCAGAGAACAGAAGAGGGCATGAGATCCTCTGGAACTGGAGTTAGAGGAGGTTGTGAGATGCCATATGGGTGCTCAGATCTGAACTTCGGCAAGTGCTCTGAGCTGCTGAGCTATCTCTCTTGCCCCTTTAAAGCAACTTTTAAGGAAATTGGCAATAATCAAAACACTGCTCAAACATTCAAAATCATAAAAAATTTTGTTTTTCATATCTTGATATTATATATAGTTTTAAAAATGTTTTTGTAAAGTATATAGTTTGAAATGTTAATAAAAGAAATGATAGACTGTCTAGAGTTTCCAGTAAAATAATCCAGTGGGTTGGGAGTTGAGAGGTAATAAGATTCACTGTTTGTTGAGAATAGTGTTAGATAAATTGGGCTAATTTCACGATTTTCTCTACTTTTGTAAATGTTTGTGCCTTTTTGCATGGACTTGTTTCAACAGTTGAAAGAAGCCATAACTAACTAAATATATATAGTATACCAGACAGTATAAAAAGGTTAGTTGGAAGCATAGTATGAATTTGAGGGAAGGAAAGATGTGCTGACAGCTATGCTAAAATTGACATGCTAACAACATGGATCCAATGTATGTAAGTCCTACACCCCACTGTGGTGAACCTACAGGAAAACTCTACAGCCTAAAGAATGGTTGTGAGTATGCTTTCTAGAACTAGGTTCATGGGGCTGCAAGGCTAATTCTGCTACTCAGTAGCTATATAAAATGGCACAAGTCTCCGAACCTCTCCATGCATCAGTTCCCTATGGCATATAAGTTGATAAATATTTAAAAAATATTACTGATGTGTGAACAGATATTGAAGGTTTTCCAAAACACAAAGAGTATAGTGAGTTTTCAATATTACGTAACAGTAGTTCTCAAATTTGGATGCTTGAAGACCTACCCAGAGGGTTTGTTGAAATACTCCATCTGTCCCTCCACCTGAGTTCTAACTCTGGTGGGGACTTAGCACATTTCCAAGTGAAGTGCACACCACTAGTACAGGGTCTGAACTCTGGGAGCCTTCACACACAGTCTTCTGTTGCAACCATCCCTTTTGAGTGAAGGAAGGAAAAATAAATGAACGTGACTATTTATCTCTCTAAAGGCACAATTTGCTAACTCCATCTCCATGTGACAGGGAAACAGACATTTTAGGTTTCCCCAACTTAAGAGAGTTTGGGTTTTGTCTTCTTGGATTTTAAAACTGAATGAGAGAAAGTGTGCTTATGGGGTAAAAATGACATGCCAGCTGCAGATTATTTTTCCCTTTTTTTAATTAAAAATTTTCTATGTAGCCAGACAATTTCTCACCTACTCATCTTCATCTAAAACAAGACACCATCTGTTATGTATGTACTTAATCAGTACCATGACAAATTAAAGCATACTCAGGCATCGGATACTGTATATACTCCTGGGGAGTTTCTGCCCAGACCTTTGCAAAGTCCTGATCAGAGCCTGAGAGAACAGCTGGCTCTGAGGCTGCAGTTGGATTCAATGAGACATGATGCCCCCCCTAGGACTCCCTCCCAATAAGCAGGGTCAAACATCCTGACCAGCATAAAGCTAGACAATGAGTTACCTGGTGTCAGGGAGGATTCTCGGTATGATTTACACCGCAAGAAGGTTACCCTTCAAAAGCAGGTCTCCTTTTCTCTTTGAGTGCACCAGAAACAAAGTGAGGAGGTTGAGAGTTGTCAGTGTCCCCAGTGTGTGCCTGGGCTTTGCCTGGGGTTCTGACTCTCAGACAAAATACCTCCCTACCTGGAATGGAGGATCTAATTTCTTTTTCTGCTGGTCCGATGTGACCTGGAGTCTGAAGGCAGACAATCCAGACCTCTTCAAAACACTTCTCCAGTGGATAACGAGGTCTCTCATCTCTTTGCTTGTTAACAACCCATTTGAGTTCAACAGCATGGGAAGCTGGTGGGCATTGAAACAGGGAAAAAGAAACTCAACCAGAGAAAAGAAAACAGATAAAAAGCAATGTTGTAAGAAAGAAGTAGAGTTGGACTTAAGGCTGTGGATTGGGTGCTGAGATTAGTAACTGAACTCTAGCAATATTACAGGTGATTTTTTTGAAGTAGAACAGTAGAGATAAAGAATGACTAGAAATATGCAAAAACAAGAAAAGCTGTGCAGGTGCAAATAATAGTCTTCAAAATTATTAGTGATTGTGATGTGTTTCATGTCCAAATATTTATCCATTAAAAATTAAAAATATTGCATATTTGGAAAAAGCCTTCTCACAAAAGGTTCTTAACATTTTTCTTATTAATTTAAAGATACCATTGGGAAATGAGATATACCTAGGTTAGTAATGATTACAGTGCATGGAACAAAAAAGGTCTATAGAAATATATTGTTTGAATGTAAAAATCTGTTTATTTAAGAAATGAATAGGAGGTAGGAAATTTGGAGTGCTTTTGGACAATTTGTTAGGCCTTTCCTTTCATCCATCCATTTGGCAAATGTATATAAGAATCTGTGTGCCAAACACTCTTCCGATGCTACGAGTTTAAGAATGAATGAAAGAGATAAGAAATCTTGGTATAAAATTTTGGTAAGGAATGGGAGACTATGAACATTTTCTTGGAATGCAAATTATTGTGATAGAAAATTCAAGATTCTAACAGCACATTTGTGAAAAGCCTATAAACATGCAGTTCTGAATATGAACATAGGTGAACACAAGCAAATGCCCCAGGAGGATCTCAGCCAACCCTAAAAAACAAACCATCCTTTTAAGAGTTGAATGTACCTCCCTCACTCAGATCTTTTTTGCTGGACTCAGATTATATATTCAAACTCTCTCTGAAGATTCTGTAACCTTAATTTGGGGACATGAAATGATACATGTGATATAAATGACATTACCTTTCATTTTATCCTGCTGTCTTTCTCCTCACCCCCCTTTTCATGAGAAGTGTCACCTTACTAGCAAAGAAAGAATTGGAAGTTACCCCAAACTTCCCCTGAAGTCCTTCCTTCCTCTGATTCAGTGAGTCACAATGGGTTTCAGGTGTTACTTTGTGATAGCTAGTGTGTTCAGCTCTCCTCCTCTGCCTTCAGTCAGCTTCATTAGCTACCTGACTATTTCTATACTCTCTAATTATGTTCAGTGTTTCAATATTCCCCTTACAATCTTCTCTTCACATGTTTCCAGTTGTTCTCTATAAAGGGAAAGGTTAAATTTTCCAATTACACTCTTTTAATGACTCAAAATTACTCAGTGAACAAAATCCAAGTTTTATGGAATGGTTGAGTGAAGTTATACACTGTGGGTTTTGTGGCATTTCTCTTAGAGAATCTCCTCTAATCATTCAGCACTCTGAAAACCATACCTGAGTCAGCTTTCATTTTTCATCTGTGGGGCCCTTTCTCTACTCTCTATGACTAGAATGTTTCATGTTTCTAGTCCTGTCCAGGTGATGGATGCAATTTTTTTTTTACATTCCACCCGCATTACATCCAGTTCTATATTGCCTTGTGCTTCACAATAGAGCATTACCCTTTGGATACATTTTGTACTTATATGTCTCCCTTGTATGTGTCCACAGACCTTCCCAGGACACAGTGATTTTCTTGATCCTATGAGGAATTTGGTGCATGCTTGCACTTGAATAAACAAATGAATGTATGGATGGATGAACAAAAAAGATCTTATCAAGAATTATATACAATTGCTTAAGGAATTGCTAAAGGAATGCAGGGTGAGTCTACCACTTGTTGCCAAAGTAGTGGGGAGATATAATTACATAATGATCATTTGTTGCAAGATTTATTTTGTAAATATGAGTGTCATTGCTTTATTAATGTCTTGTCATACTTAGGTTATTCTTCAATCATTTAGGAACAAATTTAGGTTCATAGTTTTTATTTGTCCACAACCAAATATTTGGGAGATATGTGGGGTAGGTATTTGGCCAGTTATCGACTCCTTGTATTTTTGAGGTCTTTATGTTTTCATCTGCCATAAATAATCACACAGCTTGGTAGTTTTATGAGAATGCAGTAAAATACTGCATGAGTAGGCTCTGTGGTGTGCTAATCTAATACACTTGGCCAAGTGACACACACCTCTGATTAGGGAATTTCCAAAAAAGTATTCAAGAAAATAAACAAGTGAGAAATACTTAAGGAAATTGCATTCTTGTGCTCCTCATGAATGTTAGGGGTGTGTGTGTGTGTATGTGTGTGTGTGTGTGTGTCTGAAAAAAATAATAATGAGAATAAAAGCTTTACCTTCAAGTAAAAAAAATCTATGAATGAATCTTTCAGAGATTCCAGATGCTTAAACACCACCTTTAGAGCAGCAGCTAAGAAATTGCTTTCAAATAGCACTCTTTGCCTTTGATTTATTCCTCAAAATAATTCTAGCATTGAAAAAAATCCTTGACAATTATCTGAATAACAGGAAAAAATTGGTGTGTAGTTAATTGACATGTGAGAGGAATATAATGGTGTAAATAACCCTTTAAAATAGTATTTTTCTCTACCATGCCTTCAGTGTCAACGTGATATCAGCTGAGTTTTGAAGCACCAATTCTGACTTGTTTAAATTCAAGGACCTCATCCATATAGACCTGGGAATTGCCAAGATATTAATACCTGCATTTTTATGACACATTCTAAAGTCAATAGGAAAGAGGTTTCTGAATAAAAGCCTTAAAATTACCTTATGAATTATTAATTACAGGGCATATTACCTTTGAATTATAAAAGCCCAGTAAAATGGAAAGGAGAATTGAAAAACATCAACCTCGGGTTCTTTAAAAATGTAATACCAATCATTTGAACACTGCAAAAATCTTTTATTAAAGATAAAAAGGAGGTTATACGTATTTTATTAACTGGAGGATATGTTCAATCCACATGATTAAAAATCTCATTACTAACTCAACTCAGGAACAACGTGATTTATTACTGAAGCAGAATGGGAGGCATTCGGTTGTCCACAGCAGCATTTATCAGAAGTCTAACTATCAGTTTGTATCTATTTTAACATACTTAATATTTTTTAAAGGTGGCATTGCCATCTGTTTGAGGAATTGAAGATATTTTTTTCCTAGTGTTGGCAAAGTACATTAAAGTAAAAACATTATCTGTTTTTCACTTAGCGTCAAGTTCTAAGTTTTAGAAGTAAAGATGGAATCTGTGCTTTAATGAAGTTAAGTTTTGCAGTGTAAAGGGGAGAGAGGGAGCATATCACAGTACCTTATCTCAAGACACAGAGAGAAGAGGATCAGGAGTTCAAAGCCAGCCTTGGCTACTTAGGAAGTTCTAGGCCAGATGGCACAACAAAACACTCTGTTTCAAATAAATAAATACTTTAAAAGGTTATATTTTATAAACATTTTAAAGGGGACTTTATTTTAGAAACAGATAGATAATGTCATGGGCATGTGCAATCGCAGAGAAATTGTTATCTCTAAGTCTTTTGGATTTATGATTTTGCTTTCAAGAGTGATTATAGTAATTAATTTCTCAAGGATTTCAGAATCTCTCAAGTTTTAAATGAACATCTCAATCAGTATATATATAGAGAAAATGGAACTTTATAATTCACTCAATTGTTTAATATTGTTGCTTATTTGTTCTTATCTATAATCAAGTGTAGTATCAGGTGGATGACAGATAAGGGAGAGTTGATGCTAGGCTGTGCCTGCTGAACACTGAGGGAGTGGAACATGACCTGTATTGACATTGCCTGAGGAGGAAGCATTTGAAACAGGGAAAACAGCACTGTATTCTTACCACACTCTTCCAGCTGAAGGTGAGCTTGCTATGTTGGAAACAGTGAGCATGTGTATTGAGGATAAATGAGGAACCATTGCAGGCCATTCATCAAGAACTGCAAAGGAAGTGTTTGAAGAAGTTTGTACTAAACATTATGGAAGAGTGAATATGCTAGACTGACCTTACAGGAAGCCACCAGAAGCTTCGAGGATGAAGATCGGAGAGAAGACAAGCACAATACAGTGGAGGAGGGAACTCAGAGTCACAGAGACCAGCTATAATGCCATCATGATTCCTTGGCAGTAGGTAATGTGACTCGGCAGCATGTATTGAAATTGATGCTGATGAAAAAAATCCCACTGGTGAAAAGACCACGTGAGATGGCTCAGTAGGTAAGAGCACCGTACTGCTTGCTCTTGCCAAGGACCCAAGTTCAGTTCTTAGCATCCACACCAGACAGCTAACAACCTGTAGCTCCAGCTCCAGGAGACCTGACACCTCCTTCTGGCCTCTCAGGGCACTCCCTTCTACAGACACACAAATAATAAAATAAACCTTTAAAATATTTTATGAACATAATTTGCTCAATAAATAAAGAATTCAATGTTGAGAAGTGCTCATTTATCCCTCCCTCCCTTGATCACTTCCATTCCCACCATTCCCTGTTTCATGTGGTAGCACAAGGTCTGAGGAGTTACGAGGTTCCTCCAAGCCTCTCTATTTATCCCTTCACACGGAATCAGACATCAACTCCAGATAAGCCTCTGTCCTCTGAGGACAGATCCTTTCTTCCTGTTCAGGCTGGGTACAGCTGAGACTGTACCTGTGTGTCAGTTCATAAATGGTGTCTTCAGGGATTGTTTATTTTAATTATGACTAGGAGCACCACAGTTCTGAAACAGCTTTGGAATTTGAGGCTCCAACTCTGTTAATACTAAGCAATAACTACCATAAAGAAAGACTGGGCACTTGTGAACATTTTTTTTTCTCTCGTTTGAAAAATAAAATTTAACTTAAGAATGGTTGCCATAGCTATGAGCACATTGACTAACTTCCTGGCATTAAAATGTGCGTATGTCTTCTCTGACTTATGTAATGCTTGCTGAAAAAGAAGGGGCTGTAAATTCTCATGTCCCTCTATGTGTATTTATACATATGTAAGAATATATGTTCTTTAAAAAAAAAGGAAAAAATCAACCTATGCTTCAAACATAAAATGCCTATAGCAAAGCATCACATTTCTTTAAGTGTTTTTGCCGCTTTGAGTATGTGAGTTTAGACAAATGGCTTTTCTCTGTTCCTTTCTTTCTTCCCTTCCTTTCTTCTTGCTTTCCATCCTTCCTTCTTTTTTTTAAGCTGGCACATTCTTGTTCAATGAAAACAAGGGAGCAAAGGATTATTCTAGCCATTGAAATAGAAATGGTGTGTGAATCAGACAGCTGGAGCTTGGGTGTGAGATATTGCAATTTTTGCTGTAGGGAAAGGAGATAAAATGAGGGTTTGAATTTCATAGCATAAGGGGCTACCTAAATAGCAGCTGTTAGGTATGAAATCCCTGATGAAGATTAGAACTTGGTGGGGGCTAGGTCTTTCCAAGCTCAAAGAGTTGGAAGTGGGTATCCAGGAAGTACAGTGTTTCATTGGAAGAGGATTTCCCCTTTTCCAAATCTTGGCAATTGCTTTTTGGGTTTATAGCTATGCATTCATAAATTCTCTTCACTTGACTACACTAAAAATACCTACAATCTTAGAGTTTTCATTTTGAAGGAGTTGAATAATATACCCAGATTACACGAGAGGGTACATATTATGAGACTGCTTAAATTGTTAATAATATTTCAGTGGATTTGGTTCTGCATCAGGAAAGGACTGTTGCAGTGGGTTTGACTTCTAAGAGATCGTAAATTCCCCTCTGGACAGAATGTAGTAGATATGTTTTATGCATTTGTTACTGCCTTTTATTATAGACATCTTAATCTGTGTCTCCCCTACATGTTAGTTTCTATCAACAAACTTCTTGTTTCCTCTTCCCTCCTTATATTTGCTTTCTGTACTCTGGTCAGGATGTGTTTCTTCCAGTTCCCCAAACACAGTTTTCTGTAGCTCACTTCTGGGACTTCAAAAACCACAGAAAATGTAGGACTTCAGCAAGTTCCTTCTCTTACTGTCTCTCCAATGTAAGGATGGCAAACGGTTTCTTGTGTGGTGTGTACAATGGTTATTGTGGTGGACTCCTAAACACAGCTCCCCAGTTGCAAGTCTAAATTAATCGTTCGTACATACTGTGCTATTCAAGTTCCTATCTCCATGACAAAATACTTAAGAAAAACAGCTTAAAGGATAAAGAACTTAACTTGGCTCACAGTGCTAGAGGTTTCTGTCCTTGGTTCCCTGGCTTTGCTTTATGTGTGGCATCACACCACACACACACATACACAAAAAAATTAATGACTAAATGAATCAATGAATCAATAAATGAAGGAAGTCAACTTCATGCAATCAGAAAGGGTGAGAAGAAAAGGAGGTGCTGGGGTTCTGAGGCCAAGCTGCTTTTTTTGAGGGTATACCCTCTGTCTATATCTAATAGAGTTGTGGTTCTTAAAGTCTTCATGACCTTCCAGTAGCCCATTTGGCTATGACTGACTATTGTTAAAGTCAGAGCTTTAATAATTCATTGATACAATAACTTCTCAAAGCCTCCATCTCTGAATGCTACTGCATCAGGTACCAAATCTTCAGCCCATGAGCCTTGAAGGGATATTAAAATTTGAACTATAGTAACAGAATCTTCTTAAATAGTTGAGGATTTCTGAAGCACTTTTATTAATTTGATCTTATAAATCAAAATATTTAGCATGATAGAATTAAAAAGAAATAATATAGAATGTTTAATTTATAACCATCAGTAATTATTTTTTTTCATACTAACAGATATCCTTAGATTAAAATTTACCATTTAAAAAATTATAATCTTTGAATTATCATTCTGATATTAATTGTGTGATTTTAATCCTTTTAAATTGTTTGAGGCATGCTTATGGCTTAGCTTATTTTCTGTCCCAAAGAGTGAGAACTTTGTGTTTTATGACTGATTCAATATTGATGACAGTACTAAACACCAGAGCAAAGACCCTGGAGTTATGCCTTTTTCATCTGTTCAAATACAGGAAGAAAGGAAGATTTGTGCTGAGGGGATGACAAGAATGAGAGGAAGACTTCAAGGAGGCTCCAGACAAAGCTAGAAGCCAATACAGATTTTCTGGGTCTGAGCAAAGTTAGACTATTTCCAGAAGAGTGGTGAGAATCAACCACTGGTTCCTGAGTAGATGATCTAAATTTTGTGTTAATGGCGTAATGTCTTCATGCTCCTTTTTTTGGGTAGCTTGCAATCTCTAGTTTCATTATTTTTCTCACTGACTTTTTTTTTTTATGTAGCACATTTCTTTTGCATGTTAAAATACTAAGACTTGCCAGTGATGGATTGAACTTAAGTAGCTGGAAACCCCACACCTGTGCAAAGGGGTTTATCGAAGCCTTCACTGTGCTTTTCATATTCATTTATGGAAATCCTCTTTAAGAAAATACCGAGAAAACACACCGCAGTACATAGACTACCGCACAACACAGAAATAATTATTTGCCAAGTGATGGTTTATTTATGAAGAATGCTAATCACCTCCCCTCCTGTGTTCGCATTTATAAGACCAAAAGACCAATCCTGAAACACGTCGCTGGCAATTGGAAAGCAAACCTAATATCACTGCTGTGAGCTATGGCAACAATTATTTCTATATTTTGGGGGTAAATTGTGGATTGAAAACATCCTCTTTTTACCCCAAGCCTCCACTTAAGAGTGAACAGACTTGACTTAGGCTCAGCTAGGATGTTCTAGACAAATAAGACCTCTCATTTTAGTCCTTAATCAATTCTATCAAGTATTCAATTTGCTTATTTTAAGTTGAGATCATTTTATCAATAGTTTTAAAAAAGTACTTCTAATTAATTTCTAGAAAAGTCAAGGATTTTGTCTAACTTGTAACTACTAGAAAGGTATAGATTGACTAATGGCTGTGTCTGGTAAGGCACCTCTTGCATGAAGCCCAGACTTCATATTTAAGTACAATTATATTAGAGAGCACAGATTAATTTGTTTTACATATTCAGAGCTAGAATTTTGGGGAAAATGCCATGCAAATTTATGTAAATTGGAATACATGTTTATGTAAAACAACATGTGATTATGCATCCCTAAATTTACAAGAAAAATTCTGCTAGTCTTCTCTTAAAAAGTAGGGAAAATACAAATATACTCCCAATCCCAGTTTGGACCAGGCTTCTTCTCGCATGGTTTGTCTGGCATGTGCAAAGGCTCTTCCGTGCCATGGCACTGGGTGAGGATTCTGTGTTTCCTTTGCTGAAACATGGTTTTCAGCTTAGTTCAGAGGATGCTGCCAAGTTTATCTCCCTTCTCTGCTTTCCTTCACTTCTGTGTTGAAATATCTTGATTTCCACTAATTCAGAAAAGTTTGGGGATTGTTACTTAAGTCCATAAATAAACATAGCTTAGTTAAGGTCAATACCACTTCCGCCTTTTTAAAATGAACTGTAATAAAGAGTGGCACATGCCCAAATACTTGGTGTATGTCCTCTAACCCTGACCCCCACTCCTAATATGTAAAGGAAGAGGATTACTCAGTCCTAGGATGACAGAGCTAACATTTTGCATAAGAAAGCACTCCTCTGAGAGTGAGTAGGGTACAATTTGTTAATTATTCCAGTTTTAATATTTAAACTATAATTTTTAATCACCTCAAGAATGTCACTCTTTATTTAATTTGGCCTTTGTCAAATTCATATGATCCCTCCACTGATTAATCCTGACTTTACATTTACCTCAAAACCTCATATCCTTTCCCAATAAGGCATTATCTAGAATTCTTAAGCAAGAATATTGTCTTTACTTATCAAAATAATTTTAACTAATTAGTTGCCAAATTTATTTCCTAACTCACACCTTGCATTGTTGTTCAGTTTAGTGAAGGCATGGTGAGTTTTATTAAGTTCTGCCCTCTGTTTCCCAGGAAGAAGAGAGAAATGAGCTATGTATCTCCACCCACAAGCAACCTCAGGCATTTTTTTTCTTCATGAACTCTATAAGTTACTTTCTTTTATCATGCCAATATGTTGTCAATCTGACAATTTTCCCTGCTAGGAAAAGTTTAAGTCCGTGAGAGAGTGCTGAAATAACTAAATGGTGAGTTATCTTGTTGGCTGGAGGTGAGTCAGTCTTACCAAGTCTGATGATAATAAAATGAGACATGCCAAAAAGAGTTCTGCCTGTATGAAGCTTATAAAACATTCTTTGAAGGAGACAATACATTAGTAAATTGGTGACTTAGGAGATGAAAATATATACAAATTCTTGTGCCACTTATCAAAGATTTTTACTTTTTTTTTTTTTTACTAGTTGATATAGTATGACAGGAAATAAACACACACAAATGTTAGTAAGGAAAGATCTTATGAAGGAGAGGGAGGAGAGTCAAGGCATGTGTACCACTGAGTATATAGGGCAAGACAGTGGTATGTAAGCTAAACAATAGGTCACAAGATGTATTTACTATCTAATTTTTTTGAGAACTTTTTTTGTTTATATTTTATGTGTTGGTGCTCATCTGAATGTGTATCTGTGTACCATGTGCTTATAGTACCTGTAGTGGCCAGAAGAGCATGTTGGAGCAACTGGAGCAAGAGTTAAGAGACAGTTGTGAACCAACCTCTGGGAAATAAATATAGATCCCCTTAAAAGCTTGAGTGCTCTTAACCACTAAATCATCTAGACATCTCTTAACTCACATTTTTGGGCTTTTTTCTTAATGTTAAAGGATATGTGTGAATGTGTGTATGTATAGTTTTTCTGTAATGACATACTAAAAGTTTGAGAGAACACAAAACATTGCATGTTGAAATTTATCAGACCACACTTCAATATAAGTAACATTATTACAAATTCATGTTTCTCTATATAAGCAATCAAATGAATATTTATTATTATTAAAGTAAAGTAAAAATGTTGATTTGCAATAAAAATTTTCTCTATCCAAGTTGTAAATAAGATGGATTCTTTATAAACAAGCAATGAACAAAAAGCAAAACAAAACAAAAGACCTTCTAAAGTACTTTTTTAATGAGAAAAATAAATTAATATATCCCTGGATAAGCAAGTACTTTCCCATGATATCATGATGCCTCATAGCCTTTTTGGATTATGATGAACATTCAATAAATGAATAAATATATCTTTTTTGTTTTGTTTTTAATTCATCTATTTATTTTACCTCCTGGCCACTGCCTACCCCATCCTTCTCTCCTAGTCCCTCCCCAATTCCCCTCTCGACACCCCCAAACCCCTTCTCTTTCTTTTCCATCCAGGAAAGGGCAGGTCTCCCATGAGTGAAAATAAAGCATAGCATATCAATTTGCAGAAACAATAAACATCACGCCATGTATTAAGGCTCAGCAAGGCAATCCAGTATGAGGAGTAAGGTCTGAAAAGCCAGAAAAAGTTGGAGACAGCCCCTGTTCCCACTGTCAAGAGCCCCACAGGAATACCAAGCTACACAACTGTAACATACATGTAAAGTGCCTAGGTCAGTTCCATGCAGGTTCCCTGGATGCCTGTTCAGTCTCTGCTAGCTCCTATAAGCCCAGACTAGTTGATTGTGTGAGCCTACCCCTGGTGTCCTTGACCCCTATGGCTCCTACACTCCTTTCTCCTTCTCTACAAGATTCCAAAACTCTGCCTAATGTTTGGGAGTGGGTCTCTGCATTTGCCTCCATCAGTTGCTGAATGGCATCTCTGATGACTATTGGACCAGGCACCAATCTGGTCACAGGAGATGGCCAGTTCAGGACAGCCAGGGCTATTACATTGAGGTCCTTGATCTGCTTGGACTTGAGTTTTGTGCAAAGTGAAAAATATGGATCCATTTGCATTCTTCTACATGCCAAAACCCATTCAGATCAGCACCATTTGTTGAAGATGCTTTCTCTTTTCCACTGTTCAATTTTGGCTTCTTTGTTGAAATTCAGGTGTCCATAGGTGTATGCATTTACATCTGGGTCTTGGATTCCATTGATCCACTTGTGTGGTTTTATGCCAAGACCATGCTGTTTTTTATTACTATTACTACTATAGCTCTGTAGTAGAACTTGAAATCAGGGATAATGATACCTCCAGAAGTTTGGTTTTTTTTTTTTTTAATTGTACAAGATTGTTTTAGCTATCCTGGATTTTTTTGTTGTTGTTGCTTTTCCATATGAAGTTGAGTATTGTTCTTTCAAGGTCTGTAAAGAATTGTGTTAGGATTTTAATGGGGATTGCACTGAATCTATAGATTGCTTTCGTTAAGATGGTCAATTTTATTATGTTAATCCTACCAATCTGTGAGCATAGAAGATCTTTTCATCTTTGGAGATCTTCTTCAATTTCTTTCTTCAATGACTTGAAGTTCTTGTTATACAGGTCTTTCACTTGCTTGGTTAGAGTTACACCAAAATATTTTGTATTATTTGAGGCTATTGTAAATGGTGTTGGTTCTGTGATTTTTTTCTTGGCCCATTTATCATTTCTATATAGGAGGGTTACTGATTTTTTTTTTGCATCAATCTTGTATACCTATCAAAAAATTGTCCATTTATTTTAGATTTTCCAATTGTGTGGAATATAGGGTTTTGAAGTATGACCTAATTGTTCTTTGGTCTTCCTCAATGTCTGTTGTTATCTCCCCCTTTTTCTTTCTGATTTTGTTAATTTGTGTTTTCTTTCTCCATCTTTTAGATAGTTTAGATAAGGGCTTGTCTATCATGTTGAATTTTCTGAAAGAACCAAGTGTTTGTTTCATTGATTCCTTGTATTCTCTTTGTTTCTACTTTATTGATTTCAGCCCTCAGTTTGATTATTTCCTGGGTGTGTTTGCTTCTTTTTGTACTAGAACTTTAAGTGGTGCTGTTTAGTCACTAGTATGAGATCTCTTCAATTTCTTCATGAAGTCTATGAACTTTCCTCTTAGCACCACTTTCATTGTGTTCAATAAGCTTGAGTATGTTGTGTATTCATTTTCATTGAATTCTAGAAAGTCTTGAACTTCTTTCATTATTTTTTCTTTGACCCAGTGATAACTCCATAGAGGATTGTTTGGTACCCATGAGTTTTTAGGCTTTCTGTTGTTTTTGTTGTTGTTGAAATCAAGCTATAATCCATAGTAGTCTGATAAGATAAAAGGATTTATTCCATTTTTTTTTTGGTATCTTTTGAGACTTGCTTTGTGGCCAAGTATATGGTCAATTTTAGAGAAGGTTCCATGAGGTGCTGAGAAGAAGGTATATTCTTTTTGTGTTTGGGTAAAATGTTCTTTAGATATCTGTTAGATCCATTTGATTGGAAAATCATTTTCCAACCCTTTTCTTTGAAGTAATTCTATCTTTAATGCTGAGATGTGTTTCTTGTATGCAGTAGAATGTTGGATCCTGTTTTGGTATCCAATCCATTAGCCTGTGTTTTTTTATTGGTGAATTGAATCCATTGATATTGAGGGATATTAATGACCAATGATTGATAATTCTTGTCATTTTGTTGTTGATTGTGGTAGTGTGTGTGTGTGTGTGTGTGTGTGTGTGTGTGTGTGTGTGTCCCTTCTTTGGGTCTTGTTGGGATGAGAATAATACCTATTGCCTGTTTTGTGGGTTTGCCAAAATTCCTGGGGTTAGAGTTTTCCTTCTAGTACCTTCTTCAGGGCTGGGATTGGAATAAATACGTCTTGAAGAAATGATTCATGAAACAATTGTAACACCCACATTGAAACAGGCAATTTGCAAAAATTTAATAGATTTTGTAACATATTGAAACTACTTACGTTTTTAAGTGTGTGTTACCCTGAACTTGAGTTTGACTTTGATAAGTATGCAATGGCCAGAATATAAATTCCAAAATAAAATTTAGAGATGGGATTGACATGATTTAGTGTTCCAGCTGTGGCTAGATAAATTCTGATTTCCTGCATGTGTTTCCATTTAAAATGACTTAGAGTAATTTTCAGTTACTGATTACCTAGATTTATGTGTGTATTTTTAGTATATCTGCAAATGTGACCTTATATTTAATTATGAAGCTCATCTTTAATTTGAATCATATTTCAGAAGACTTGTAAATAGCCTCATCCTTGTTGAAGGATCAAAGTGAAAGTTATTCTTATTTTATTATCTATCCATTCTTTTTGTAGCCCTTCTTATCGCTGCCTGGGGGACCAGCCTCCAGCAGCAAAGGCCTCAAAGGGAAGCCACAGATTCATCATGTACTTTGACTTTTTTTTGTCTGAGGGGGTTAGAAAATAAAATACTCACACACACTCTTGATAGTTTCATTCTTTATTCTCTATTCTTCTGTATTCTTTTTGTGTTATTTCTACTATATACTTTTTTTCTACAGCTTACATATCCCAACAAAGTTTTTCAGGCAATGTAAAACTTACAATGGGGTTACATTCTGTTTTTCAAGTGAATGATTACAATAAATACAAAACAAACAATGAAAAACAGCATGTTTTCTATATCCTTTACATGATTCAACATTTTACATATTACAGGTGAAAAACCAATTATCTGAAGAACTCACATGCATTCATACCCAAGCTACTTGTTTTAGATTAACCACGTGGGCAAGCAAGGTCTTTTTCTCACCTAAGTCTTTAACTGACAGGCTGCAGTTTTGCAGTTACAAAGAAAGGGCCAGTTACTTTATTACTTATATTGAAAGGTAATCTTATAAGGAATCTTCAAGGGATCACAAACACAAACTTTTATATATGAAAAAGAATCAATCAGGTCTACTTTAAATCTTTAGGGTACATACACACTCATCAATAGTTTTTTATATGAGAAGATGGAGGGCAAAAATGGGTGCAAGGAATTAATCATCACCTTTGGCTATCAACCAATCCTTGCAAAAAGGTGTGTTAGCTAGTAATAATTAGGCTGCTTCGTTCTTATCCCCTGACCTTAAAAAGTTCTACATTCAAATACATGCCTTTCTAAAACTTTATATTATCTTCTTGTTTTTTCCCCCTTAAAGTTATTTGACAAAAACATCTTAATCTCCCTTTAAGTTATTTTCAAAGCTTTGTTTTAGCTGTGATGCACTCCAATACCCATGAACACATGTCCCAACATTAAGGTTAAAAGAATTTAGGCTAGCTG